TTCATCAGGGCCGGGCTCGGGCCCAAGTTGTAGGCCCGTTGGTCGGGCCGGGCTCGGGCTCGGGCCTAACAGTTTTTTGTTAATAAAGAGTCAAAGCCCGGCCCGAGCCCGGCCCGGCCCGGCCCATGAACAGGTCTGATTGTAACAAGTTGGGACTATATGATATATACTCACCAGTTTGAGGGGGAGTGTTAGTGTCGAGTATGTAGGGGTATTTCTGTCTTTATGCTTATGTTGAGGTTGTTGACGTGTAAGATTATGTTAGAACTAGTGTCCCTCACTTAAGTAGGGGCACATGTGTCTTTTCCATTATATTAGTAATATGAAACACATCTGGCCGAATGGGAGAGGTAATCTTTTCTCTCATTCGAACCATAACTTTCTCTCCCTTTCTCTTTTCTTTTCTTCTCCTTCCTCTCTCTCTTTCTTTCTTCTTTCTTCTTCTCTCTTCTTGACTGTTATCAGACTAACAGAACTCAAGGGCAGGCCGAATCATAATGATAACTTTGAAGAAGGAAAAAGAAGCAGCCTAACTGCTAAATAGAAAAATGATCATCATTATACCAATCATAATTTAACAATGGATATGACATTAAATACAACAGAATGGTGAAACAGGAATCATGTAGCCAACCCCATATGGCTGGGATAAAGCTTGGATGATGATGATGATGATCAGATTATACCATTCATAAACAAATTTTGGATTAGATCACACCCCATGAATGGGAATCTTGAGAAAGCACTGAAGCACAAACACTTAAACCTGCTTATTTGTTTAACCYTTTTTAAGGMTAACAAAGATGTGATAATGTTTCACCCTCAGTTGGGCATACGATACACTCATAAAAAGATTTCTAAAGTTGAGTTTTCTTGCTAAAATATAAATTAGGGCTAGAATTATTTCCCAATTATCAACAGGATCAAAAGAAGTTTGTTAACATGGTAAAAATATGAAAACTCCTGCTGCCCATTAGAAGAGACTGGAAAAGACTAACCCAACAGCTATAGCCTATTAGCTGAGATTAAAAATATAGAATCTCTCAAAGAAATCTTACAACCGCAGAGACAATTGATAAAGTAAATAGAAAATCATGCTTTGCCTGCAGAAAACACACTATTTAATTGTTTTTGGTCATAAAAGATACTCTAAAGCACTCCAAATCCAAATGCATCTAAAACAAGTGAACTTATTTTAAAGTTGATGGGACAATGTGTCAAATAGGTAATTTAAACACTTCCAAATTGAGGAAAAGTTGAAGTAGAGAAAAAAATTGTGATTCTAGACAATTCTATTTTCTGAAATTTGTTCATAATTCTTCCTAACATGTCAATTTGTGTGATCTTAGGCTTTTCACATGGGTTACTGGATAACCTTTGTAAAGATATATAGGTGTTTGATCACTTCTTGTCATTGAAAAGAATTTTTAGAATTAGACTGTTGGATTATTGCTTAAATATGCAGAATTGGTTCATATAGTTCCTCCTGGCTCAGTAGAAAAGTAGTTTTGGTTTTGACAGAAAATAAGAGAGTTTAGCTTTTTTTTTTCTGTTTCTTTCTTATTTTCTCTCAAACCAAACACAACCTAAGGTTTTTCTACCATCCAGTATTACCTTCTTAACATAGCAACTGATTTAGATGCCTTTATATATGTTATCTTTATCTGCATTAACACAAACAAAAAAAAAGAAAAGAAAAAAATGTTCTTCATCTATGTACCTGTGTATGTTGTGTGTTTGTGTGGCATATTCAATCCTATTCTTTTAATATTTCCATGACCTCTTGATTTTTCTTGCATATCCAAGTATTTGAAGTGTATCCACATGCACATCTTAATCTTTTCCCTTTAATGAGAATCAACATACACAAAATACACAATCTATAGAGTGCTAGATGACATCACACCACCTTATGTTGCGGTTCTAAGCATGACACCAGAGCACAAAGAGATAAAAGTCTTTAGTCATCAGGTTATTTTTATCACATTATTTATTAGCTCATACTCAAAAGGTTCCAGTAAACCAATGAGCTCGTAGATAAATTCAAAATAACGAGTAAAATTCAATGAAAGCAAAACGTTAAAATGATTCAAGCAACTCTAGGGCCCTTGTTAAGTTCTTATTCTTTGATAATCCTAAAATAAAATAATTCCATAAATGCATAAACGAACTTGAAGTGTTGTATGTTTAATTCTTAATGGAGGTATTGTATCCTTATCAGGTTGGCAACCGGAAATTGTTGAACGAAAAAGAGATCACCATACCAACTGAAGCTGAAAATTTCTTGGTGGGATTAGAAGAAAGTGCAAAAACAGCGATACTTGTGGCATTTGACAACAATGTTATTGGAGCTATAGGACTAGCAGATCCTCTTAAAAGAGAAGCAGCTATTGTTGTAGAGAGCCTGACGAACATGGGTGTCAAACCAGTCATGGTAACAGGGGATAACTGGAGGACAGCAAGGGCCGTTGCTAATGAGGTTAGTATTTTCTCTTTTTCATGTTGTACGTACTGGCCATACACACATATCAGAGGCACAGTCAATTGTGAACAAGAGTGCTTTCTGTTTTGTACTGGTGAAATTACAAAACTAGCTTACACTAAACTCCTATGCATGGCTTGGCAGGTTGGCATTGATGATGTGAGAGCAGAGGTAATGCCATCAGGGAAAGTTGATGTTATACGTTCATTTCAGAAAAACAAAAGTGTGGTTGCAATGGTGGGTGATGGCATCAATGACTCCCCTGCCTTGGCAGCTGCTGACGTCGGAATAGCAATTGGGGCAGGAACCGATGTTGCCATAGAAGCTGCTGATTATGTGTTGATGAGGAACAACTTGGAAGATGTCATTGTAGCCATCGATCTCTCACGGAAGACATTTTCCCGTATCAGATGGAATTATGTGTTTGCCATGGCTTACAATATCATTGCCATTCCAGTTGCAGCAGGCGTTTTCTTCCCAATTTTGAGATTAAAATTACCTCCTTGGGTGGCTGGTGCATGTATGGCTCTCTCATCTGTAAGTGTCGTGTGCTCTTCTTTGCTTTTGAGAAGATACAAAAGACCTAGGCTTACCACTATACTGGGTATTACTGTAGAGTAAAAACAAGTGCCTACTTGGTAGGAAGAATGTAGGAATGGGATGAAATGGATGTAAATTTATTCCATATCCCTGTTTTGTTGTCTCATATGTTCAATGTGCTCAAACACTATGAGGGTGAATCTGCACCACCAATTCAATGTAAATCACACATGTTGTATCTGTTATCATTTTTTAGGCTCCGTTTGATTGCACTGCAAATCTGAACAGGGTACAAATTAGGGCTGCAAATACGTTGGATCATATCCAATTCGAATCCGATACTGATCCATTAAGAGGCATATCCCTCCTGATCCTAACAAATCGGATTGGATCAGAAAAAGCCGAATTCAGATATCGACTAATCTGATCCGCCATGACCCGATCGATCCGCCAATATATATTTATTATATATATATATATATATATGTATATTTTAAAATAATTTTATATGACAAATATACCCTTTAGTTTTTATTATAACTGTGTTTTAGTATGGTCTCTTCAATCTTCCTTTTTGGCCGTTCGGCGCCTGTAGTCTGTAACCTGTAACAGTCTTGACTCTTGAGCCTCCATTTCAGTGCTTGTTAGTATGGTTACCGACGGCTCTGCTATTCCATCACTGGCATGCCGCTGTTCTTCCGACTATTCAACTGCCGACATGCCACTGTTCATCTTTGAATGGTTGTGGTCGTTAAAACACTTGAACTCAAACCTCTGTGACTGAGCGGCTCTGCTATTCTATCACCGGCAGCGTCAACAACACACCACCCTGTGCTGGAAACTAGCGCATCATTTCCCTCTTTTGCTGTCTCTTTCACTCTTTGACTCAGCCATTTAAACTCAGAAATGGGAGGGTCGATGGTTGCAACCGGCTTCCAGTTTCAGATTCAGAATTCCAGCCAGCAATTAGGTCATTGCAATCAGTCCACCGCTCGGGGACTGCAAGTAATCTCTCTTTCTCTTCCTGTATCGGGTAAAGCAAACTGTAGATCTTCTACTCGCTGAAAGTTCTCAATAGTTAACTCGCCCCCTATTAATTTGTCTCTTCCTCTTCCTGTAACGAGTACAGTAAACTGTACATCTTCTACTCGCTGAAAGTTTTCAATAGTTAACAATTAGATTCGAATTGGATATATCTGTAAAGATTAGCGGATCGAATCAGCCTTTGTAAAATCCGCTGGATTATTAATGTGCTGGTTCAGTTTTGCATTCATTTGTTTGTAACTATGATTTGCACTCCCACCTGATACAAAATTGTACTTTGTCTCATTTACACTCACTAATGGTAAATTTTGTTTTCCAGAAACTGATTTAAAATTTGCAGCATCTTCCCAGAAGTGAGGATGCTTTTTACGTCGTTCTCAAACAAATAATCCTCCTTGCACATCCATTCTCTTTCTTAAAAGGTGGAGACCACATTATTTTACTTCTGACAATAAATAAGACAACATCAAATATAAAACAAAAAAGTGAATCAGAATTTACACTCAGCGTATTAGCACTCTCATGTGTCTAGACCACTGCAAACAAAGTCAGGCTTATAGATGAATGAATCATGTTTCTATCCCTGATTGCCCCTCCTTTTTGTTTCATAATCTTATTCGCAAGATGCAATCCAAGTCTGGTTGCAAATTTTAGCACCCATCCTATGAGTCAATCAGTCAGGGTATTATCAGTTAGCTCATCCCACTCTTGTTTGCAAACTTAATTTGGTTTTGCATTGATAAATTTTGTATTGTATTTGGTTGTGATGAGTACAACTATGAATTTCAAAAATTGAATTTCAAGACTGGAATCTACTGTTTTCTTACATTTACCAACTTTGACTATAAAAGTTTGCTTCCACTTTTTGGAAGCAAACTTTGCTCCCATCCGTTTTGAATACAAAAACTACAGGAAAAACAAGTTTACTTTCATTTACAGTACAAAAATGTATTTTTACCAAGTACCTTCAAAACTAAAACAGAATGCAAATTGCTTCAGTTCAACATTTGCACTCTATCCAAAGTTAACGGCATACCCAAGTTAATCATAGATGGGTTATTGTAATTGTAAGCTGTGAAGGTCCACTCCCTGGATGCCAAATGAGATGATCAGCTCTATGTCAATTTTTTTTTTCTTTGAAGATGATTCCAAAGATCGAAGAAAGACCAGAACAACTTGTACACAATTCTTTGGTTATAGTCTAAGTTTTCCTTGGTTCTGGGTCTCAGTAGTTGAGAGTCTAAGGAAATCTGAGAGGGGTAGAATATTTCTGGTTACATTTTTACAGTTTCATTTCCAGAAAATTGAACTGTTCAGATTTCACAGTCTCATCTCCATTGTTTTGGTTAAAATCGAAAAAAAAAACCTGGGACCTGTTTCAGCTGCCGAGGTCAAAAGTGGTTTGAAAACATTGATGTTGATTGTAAGGAACTGGCCCAGCAAGACATTGCCCCATTAGAGAAATCAATTTTCTTTTATTTTGTTTTTTTTTTTTTTATATATCAGCTACTATAGATCAAAGAGATTATTTTTATGATAGAGAAGTTGATGTAACCACTTCCCGTTTAAGTAATGACTAATGAGAAGCAAAGAGGGGAATAATGAAAACTTGAAAAGAAAGGTGCCCAGATTGACCAATCTAAAGAGAAGGCCTAAAAAATAGACAAATTAGATTAGCTCTAATGATCTAATCTATGATCTCACCTCACCAAATCTTTTCACTCCTAGAGCTAGTCCATCGGCTAATGCATTAAAAATAATAGTTAATTAATTGTGGAAAGTGTCCAGAAATTGAGGAAGAACAGTCGATTTATCTTTTGACTTGAGATCGGATTAGTTGAAGGCAATGACTGTTTACCGGAGTGTGGAACCATAACACCCCACGCCAAATCTTAAAATTAGGGGTGGCCACAAGTCGGTTTGGCTGTTCAAGTTCGGCTGGTGAAAAGCTCGGTTTGGCTCAATCTAAACCGAATTCCAAGCTGAATTTGAGCCTAATATATGGGCTCGTTTGCTAATCGAGTCGAGCTCGAGCTTAATACAGCTCGGCTCATGAGGCTTGCGAGCCTAGTCGAGTACATGTACATAGGGTGTCACTTTGGCTTGGCTACTGAAGAAGACCTTGGTTTGGCACCTTGGAAACTAAGGGAGATCTCGGTTCGGCACCTCAACAACTAAGTGAGACCTTGGCTCGTCACCTCATCAGCTAAGAGAGACCTCGGCTGCTAGGGAGACCTACAATCAGAGGCAGCCGAACTCGAGCCGAATTGAGCTCGAACTTCTAAGCTTTTGACTTGAACCGAGCTCGAGCTCAGATTGCTAATTCGAACCAAACTCAAACTCGAACTCAAGCCTGATAATTTATGACCAAGCCGAGCTCGAATAGGCAGATATTCAGCTTGGCTCGGCTTGGCTCAAATCCACCCCTATATAAAATATCATTGCTTGATATAACTAGAGCCTAGAGATGCTCAAATCTAAAATGTGAAAGAAACAAATAAACCCCATGATGATTCATCCACAAATCTCAAACCAAAGTTGCATAAAGTCAGCTCTTATATTCATTAAAACCAGCCTTGCTATAGCAAGGCATGGGACAAACCATTTATAGTGAACACCTAACTAATTCTTTGACAACATCTCTTTCTACCAAATTAATTCTTGCATTGAAAGATAATTTCATTAATCAAAGAAGATAAACTGTTACATAATCCCTTGGAGGGGATGCTTCTCCTAAACAAGAAAAAAGTTGCAAATTTGTCCAAAATAGTTCTTCTCCGTATAGCTCAAAGTAACTGAACCTGGGTCTAACAATCAATTCACAATCACCTTAAAATCGCCTTCAACCACTAATTTCTCTGCCCCAAGTTGGTTGGCAATCTGAATTTCTTATATAGCTGCCTGCAACTCAGCTCTTGTAGAATCACCTACTCCCACCAGGCCTGAAAACAGTGTTTACCATTTAACTGTTTTCATGCTTTCTTTGTTTTCCCAGTGTTGAATATCAATATGGGAAAACTGCTTCATTGGCTAATTAACATGGAGATGGGTTGAAGCAACCAGAGCTATTCCCGGTCTACTGGCTCATCATCTGGGCTCTATTATATTGTGCAACGTAACTCTCTCATCAGCGAGTGCATATCCTTCCCCATTAGAGAAGCTTTTGATTCCATCAAGAGCAAAAGACAGGAGAATAGGCTCCGAGCGTCAGAATCAGGAATAGAGGAGGTCGATAGTAGAAGAAACCAGTTAAAAAACAAATGAGACCGTCATCACTCATCAGTCATCAGCCTTCATTTTATTTGTTTTGGCTTGACAGCCACTTGTTTAGAATAAGTCCATTGATGGGTCCCCACCAGTTATTCTAATCTAATGGTTGTACAAGTGGGTTTCTTGTGAGGCTGCTGTCCTCAGGGATAGTCCAATAATTCAGTAGGGTATTGTGTACTTAAAGCAATGATATATGACTGATTGAATTAATTAATGTTAATTTATAGCCTACTTTTTCCAAGCAGTGGAGGGGGAAGCCCTAAAGTTCAATTAATTAAGATATCTAACTTGGTTGAGTGGTATAAGTATAACCAATTGGTTGAGGAATTATAACAATTGGCTGCATTTTTTAAATGGTGTCAGGACTTCTAATGCTTCCAAGTTTAGAAAATGACTTACAATTGTCTCTTTAGCCCTTTCAGTTTTGCCATGGAAGGATGGAAATTTTGATGCATGTTCTCGCTTTCAGAGCTGGTCCAGAGCTAGGAGATGACCCAAACAAAGCATCAGATTTAAGGGGTCTGATGTGGGTGCTGATCCGAACAGAGGAACCTCTTTGTCAGATACAGTGTGGAACTAAGGCAGTTGGTATCAAAGAATGTTGCAGGGCAGTCTGGAATATGCCATGCATGTCCTACGCTAAGTGACAATTGGGTACGTGTGCTTTGAAGTTTGGAATTTGCTCGGTCCAAGGACAATGGAGTACTTAGTTGCAGACTTGCAGCCCGGGACCGGGACCCTCCTAAATTACCAAGTGATCACAAATTCTCAGGACCCAACAGGGAAACGGGCCAACCATGGTTTTGAAAATCGGACAGGATCGGACGTTTGGACTGGTTGATCTGGGAACTGGTCAGGTAATTGGTTCTGTTTTACCTTAAAACTGATTTTTCGCAAAATTCATTGATTTGGTTAGTAATTCATTGACCCGGGCAGTCGAACTGTT